TTGCTCAATGTAGAATGTAACCAGATCGATTTTGAGATGAATTAATGATTTCAAGCGTTATTTCATATGTTGTATCATGACTGAGGTACAAGAAACTATGGCCGCAGAATTCATGTAAAAAAAATATTTTACGGTTTATGAGTAAGAGTGACATCTGCGTAGAGGCATAATGGTTTCCAAAGTGAAAAATAATTCAATCGTTATTATAGTGGTTACGTGAAGTCAATGAAAATCACTGGACATGTCACTTTATGTGCCAAAATTATGTGAAGCATTCTTTCATTATGTTTTCACCATAAATGCTTTTCTTGCACTTGAAACTTGCAATATCTGACACAACACAAGCCTTTTTCACGTCATTCTGAAGAAAAACCAATCAACATTGGAGCATCATTTTGTCAAAATAAACCCCATTCTTGTGCATAGTTTCAGACATGTATAATTTTGAATCCACCCAGCAACTGCATTGCACAGATAACTGTATCATCATCATTGTCTGGTTACTGGTTGCTTATCATTTGGCTGTCATGGTCCCATTTATGTTCATGCACAGTCATAAGCCTTTTGATAAGCCCAAATCTTTATCCAAAAAAGTCCCAGTGCTTATTAATTGCGATATTTTCCTACAACCTCCTGTAACGGATGATCATCTAGGTGGTCAATACATAATTCAGTATTCACTGTGAATAGGGTTGAACTTCTTCGTATTGTATTAGCACACTTTTGGTTTAACAGTCCATGAACTGTACAGGGGCAGCTTGAATAGTTTCAATGTAAATTTGAAAGCCTTTATTTCTGACGAAAAATAGGAATCTTGCACAATGAAACGACAAATATTGGGCATTGATGTGGAACATTTTTACATCCTAAAATTTTAGAATCTGCAGAATTGTTGAACAAGTATCTTTGTAAGAGTTCCACATGCTCCCATCATGCTCTGTAGTAGAAGTTTGATACCCGAAAACAAGAATCCAGGCACTCAATTTTCAAAAATATAACTCTTTCTATGACAAACTGTCAAACGTGACCTGAAATACGCAAATTGAAAGAACTAGCCAACTTATCCTTGAATTAAAAATTTGAAAATATTTCCATGATCTTAGTTTTTTTTACAGTGCTTAAATTGATGACAAATTCATCCACAGGGGTGTAGGATGTTTTTCACAACCGTTGATAGAAGGATATTTCACCATGACGAATATTTGCCAAACTAAAAAGGCAATAATACACAAATTCCCTCAGATATTTAGTTCTACAAGGGAATCCTCCCTGAAATGCAATTCAGGCGACCAGAAAAACAGATGTCGAGAAAATTTCGTTGTAGAGGACCCCTTGTCTGATTGTTAGAGAAGCTTGCTCTTGAAGAAAAAATCATTGTTGGGAGAGTCAAGCTGTATCATTTTTTCTTAATTCCGATTGGCCAACTTGTAATCTCACTGTGTTTCAAGTACTGCACATTGATAATTAATTACTGTATTGGAATAGTCTACTGTAAAAACGGAATTTTGAAGGAAAAATGCATAATCTTCTAAAATGCTGAGCAAGGGCATTGAGTACAAACACAGAACTCATGTACAGTGTTAGGAATGATTTAGTAAAGATTAAATAGAATATGTTTTTAGAAATAAATGTCACAAAGAATTTGGTTGGGCTATGAATTGGGTGAAATTTCACCTTATTTTACGGTTATTGTACAGTTAAACCCCGTTAAACCGCCCCCCGATAAACCGCCACCCTCACTTAACGCCAAAATTTCATCTGAAACAAATTAGCCTAATACTAAATGGATGGGGAAACCTCGATAGACCGCCATCCGCCAAGGTTTTTTGTGTCACAAATTGCCTAGAGCCCTTCATTTTTCCCTCTATAAACCGCCAATGATTTCTCCCAACAAAATCATCATTCAGATAGACCGCCATCCGCCATCCGCCAAGGTTTTTTGTGTCACAAATTGCCTAGAGCCCTTCATTTTTCCCTCTATAAACCGCCAATGATTTCTCCCAACAAAATCATCATTCAAAGACAGTCCAACTGACCACCAGTTTGATCACCCAAAGAACTATTCTACAGTGTTCACAGCAGAACTAGACAAGAGAATATTTTGTCTGGTCCTCAGACCCTGCATTTTTTTTCATCCCCAGCTGCTGGATAAAATAGCAGTGTCCTTCTTCAGATAAATTTTGACCCTAAAATGTCTAACTTCCTCAATTCACATAAATTTACTGGTCTTCATAAAAAAAAAGTTTCCCTGGAAAAAAATAGAATAATTTGGAATTAGGCTTTATGATGGAATCAACCACTCTTTCAATTGAAAAGCCTGCTGCTAATCAATGCAATTTTATGATGGATTTTACATTTATGTGTAAAATATGTTTATTGTTTTTCTTCACTCATTTATTTTATGCACTCATCATTTGTAAACAGCCTTTTCATAAAAATGTCTCTTCACTCTTGTAGTCCTGTGCAGTTCAGAAGTAGAGTGTTTTTTGATGAGATGCAAAATATGCAAAACTGTGCATATTATCTAGTATGCTAAAGAAAGAAAAAAAATAATTTTACAATTTAAATCCCCCACCCCTACACAAAAGACCAAGCTAGTCTACAGTGTGACTGGATCAGACATACAGCAGCCCTTCAATTTTTGGCTTGTGACAGCTGCTAAACAAAATAGATCTTTAAAAATGAGTATAGTAATAAAAAACAAAATATTATGTGGTTCCAATCTGTATATTTTCCAGATAATTTTATGGATACTGTGCACAGAAGACACCCATTGAAACATTATAAAATTTGTACAGTAATATAAAATTACCACAGATCTCAAATAATTAGTGCCCAAGAATTGCACCCATATTATCATTTCTTTAAATTTTCATTTAAAAAATTTGCGAGTTTTTTACACTCAGATTGAACTGTTTTTCTTATCAAGGGGTGCATTTTTTTCTGTTGTGACCAGCGGGTCAAACGCTTTTTACTGCTGGGCTTTGGTTTGGGTTTTTGGCTTGGCAAAAAAATTGGGGTTGCCACTTAGTCCTACCCCATGTTTTTCTTATCAAGGGGTGAATTTTTTTCTGTTGTGACCAGCGGGTCAAACGCTTTTTACTGCTGGGCTTTGGTTTGGGTTTTTGGCTTGGCAAAAAAATTGGGGTTGCCACTTAGTCCTACCCCAATAAACCGCCACCCCCGTTAAACCGCCAAATTTGTCCTGGACAAACGTTGGCGGTTTAACGAGGTTTGACTGTAATTCAAGAACACAGTCAACACACACAATATTCAAAAAAATGCTGGAGTGTCATGTATGAGAGCTCAGAGAAGAGTGTGAGTTTTTGAGATGAAGTAGGAAAACAGGAAAACTGTCCTTCAAGGACAAATAACAGTATTAGGATTTGGCAATAAAAAAGAGCCTTTGAGGCTCTCAGGAGAAATGGGTGTGTGAACCAAGGTCTTCCCCTGTTCACACAGAGATGTACAAGGACAAGTTTTTCTGAGACTTTGGATTCTTCAGTTCATTATTCAGGGTAACAAATTATACTCTAACATTTATTTTTGCGACATACAGTATGTAGGGATGGTTGGCTCTCCTTCTTCATGACGTCTTCATATTCTGTGGGTAAGGTAAAGTTTGAAACGTAATTTATAGTTCATGCTGAATGAGATATAAGTTTTGTTCTAGTCACGGCTGGGTATGTGCTTTTCCTCTCTGTTGTTTTTTCATTCTGTCTTTATTTAGGAAACAGCAGTTTCAGGCCATTAACCTCTTTGTTCTCCAGAGCGTTCAACGTCGAATCATTCCTGAATGCGGGCGAATTGTGATCAGATCGCACTTTTTTCGCACATGAAAGTCATCATCAAGGCAGACTTTCTTGCAAGGTTCGTCGAACAACCCGATCACGTGGATTCTCCTGAATGAGCATACCATCTACGATTTATTTTTCACCCATCTGGATGGAATTTCAGATGCTCTCTTCCTACGGTCACGTGGCAAAAAAATGATGAGGAAATGCGACGATTTGTCTAGCGTATATTTACCAAATTCTCTTGTCAACCCTAAAAAAATGTAAACCCTCGCGAAAGCTTGCGGAAAACAAGGAAGTGCGACATCGACTCACATATCATATACTGTATGACGAAATAAAAAGTAAGTATTTCATGTCACTTCTCCACTCACAAAAAGCCGGAGAATTCCCCCACCTTTACGACCACGAACCATCAACCCGATCTTTCAGGAAATGTAGTTCATGAGCTAACTGACATCCGTATTTATTGCATATGATTTCAAACACGAACTGATGGCTCCATGATGAATTCCCGTAGGAGAAAAAATCCCGCTGCCCGAAAATCCCGTGAGGCCAAAAATCCCGTAGGCCAGAAAATCTTGTAGGCCAGAAAATCTTGCTTGGTCCAAAAATCCCATAGGTACGAAAATCCCGTACGTGCAAAAATCCCGCGATGAGTACTACAAAATTGTAATATTGTCTGGGTTACCCTTCCAACTGTCTGGAAAAAATAAAAATCTGGTGGATTATGAAATTGTGTTACTGCAAGGGTTTTAATTCCTTCCAAGGGTTTGGGAGGTTTAGGGATTATCTTTCTCAATAGAATCCCACCTTCACTTCCTCATCTTTCTCAAAAGAAAGGTGAGGAAGCCTGGGATAGATGTAGCCTTCATTTGGAGCCTTCATCCCTGCATTTTTTGTATATAAACTGTGTACTATTTTAATGATTTTCACAGCTCAACTTTCCCTTTTGAAGTAATAAACTTGCATCAGTTTGGGTGGAAATCTTGTAGAGTTGAAAATTTTTTGACTTTTTATGGATTTTTTATTTTATTTCCTATACATCATGTACTGTACTGTATATTGAACATTAAGATTTGAAAATGAAATATCACTATATACAGTATAACTGCATTTAGACTTCTTTGATAATTTTGAATTGCTTAAATACCATTACATTCTGTAGTTTTCAAACTAGGTTTTTCTAATATGAAAATTCATTTTTCGAGATTTTCGTACCTACGGGATTTTTGGACCTTCCGAGATTTTTGGGCCTATGGGATTTTCGGCCGCGCGGGATTTTTGGGCCGCGGGATTTTTTCTCTCACGGGATTTTATCCTGCACCCAAATTGATGATTGAACGACGTTGAATTGAACAGTGCTCAAGGAAAAATACTATCTATATACAATGTGCCAGAATCAAGCTGCATGGACACATGCGTCCTGTTTCAAATTTGAGTGTCCTCCACCAAAACTCACGAAACTACCATTGTTTTTCGGAAATCTCAGAAGCCATCATTTGCACTTGATCGATGCTTCTGAGGCTGCTGGTAGGAAGTTAATTGAAATCTTGATGCAGTGCATGTTTAGGCGGTCATCACTAATCAGATATATGTTTCATGTTAGAATCAATTTCTAAACCTAAGTAGTTTTTTAGGCATTTTAAATACTTGTATAGTTCTTTATCCTTATGTTTCGCTCCTGAAATGGAAGAACATAATATGTCAGTTTCACTTTAGGCATTTGCATTCAAAGAAAATCAGAAAATTGTAGAATGAACGAAAACTCCAGAACAATATATTGGACAGGGATTCCTATTTTAGTCCTGTCGTGGTTATCCCGTCATGCTTCGGTAAGTTCTCATAAACAGCACTAAAAAATGGGTGCCTGAAGCAATTAAAATATAGGTGATGTACTAAATTTGAAAGTACTGGAAAAAACTTGTGGATCATTTTTGGTATATATTGATCTTTCTTGCAATCAACTTTTCAAAGCTTGAAGGCATGAGCGAATAATGCGTTATTTGAGAGAGGAATATTAATCGCCTGGTGCTTCATTTCAAGGGACACTTTGGTACTAACAAGCTTCTAAACCGCATCATCCCCGAAATCTATTGACCTTCTTTCAGTAAATTTTAACGATCGGACGACCGTTAGAATAATTTCAACTATTATGCAGGGATTTAAATCGCTTCGTATACAGTATTACTTTATTTTAAGGCACCGATGAAGCTTGTAAACCCGCTTTTCTTGACATAAAGCTCTTCAAGGGCTGACGTCCGCAGGAATAACCTTTATTCTGTACGGTAGTATCAAATAGGGAACTTGATAGTTTCGAAATGTCAATCCAAAGTTTCGGTAATTAACAATTTACCGAGGAGCGATGTAAATCTCAGGTCGTTTCTTCGAGTACACGACCTGGTACAGATGGATAATCCTCGCCTTGAACCCGCTTGCACTGTATAAAAGATAAAATTCCCACATGCGAACAAAGGTCTCGTCTTGCTTCTCCGGGTCAAAGACCCCCTTGGCCACACAGGCCTTGAATCGCTTGTGCCAAACATGCAAAGTGCGCATGTAGTCCACGCCAAAGTTCTGCATGTCCTCGACAACGAATTTGCTTTCGGCGTATTTCACCAGCAACTTGGGACTCGGCAAATACCCGTTGGGGAAGATGTACTTTTGAATGAACCGATCTACTTGCACGTGCACTGTTTTCCCGCTGGTGATGCAATGAACGAGAGCGAGTCCACCGGGTTTCAGAACCTGATGGGCCACGTCGAAGAATTCCGGCATGTTCATGAGTCCCACGTGCTCCAGGAGCCCGACCGCGACGAGTCGGTCGAATTTTCCGCTCAAATTCCTGTGTGCATGGGCTTTTTTATTGCCAAAATTCTAAGCGCAATTTCCCCTTCAATGACTTGACTGAGAATTTTAATGGAAGTTGGACATTGTGCGCTCCGAGTCCGTTCAACTCATTTACATTCTCAGCTAAAAATGAAAAGAAGTGTGTCATACATTTCATTCATTTGAAAAATTTGGAATTACCCCAGCAATTTCATTAGGCACTGTTCTGAATATAATACACGTAAAAAAATTCATATGCAAACATATATTAGTGAATAACTCTTGATTTTAAGGTGACTTTTCCCTGTTTTTTGAAATTATATTTCTCAATGACTTTCAACTGTTATTCATTCTTTACCGTGGCAATACGAAGAATCAGTACTACAAATGCTGACATTTTGCATTCAAGATTAATCAGAACTGGAACATGAAATCTTTATTCTGCCAAAAACCAATTTTATCCCCCCCCCCCCTTAGCCATTTGATGACGAAATCCAAAGTTTGAAAAAATAAATCCAACAAAAAAGCCTGAAATATCATTCTAATGTGAAACCTAATAGAATGAGAGTTGTGTCTGACTGGCTGGTGCTGAATAATGTATAGGTACGTATAATATCCAGAGATAAATTATGTCTGCATAAATCATATCCAAAGACCAACTTACCGAAGAGCATCAACTGGATGTATAGTCATTTAGCAAACTGATTTTTAAAAATTGGGACGATGAAATTAAAAATATTTCGAAATTTGAATAAACTTCAATTAAAATAATTTGTATAGTGATGACTTGCACCATTCAAAAATTCATTTCTGAATACTATAATTCCGTGTACTTTTTGGTCCAAACTTTCCCTATTTACGCGTTATGTATCGTTCTTTTCAGTACGATTTTCGGATCTACATCCAGTTCGACAGGAGCATTGGTAATTTCTATCCATTTATACCAATATTGCAATATTTTAGAAAAATTTACTGTAAAATATGAGAATATGCATTAGTCTCGGGAAGATACTCGTACGTATATAAATATCTTGGCTGTACATTATATGCAGTTATTCCTCACCAAATTAAGGATTTATTTTCCTCACTTCACATCCTATACTTTTGTGATGCATCCAAGACGTTTTTGTAAAATAGTGCTACAAGCATCACTGAAAAGAAAACTGAAAACCTCTTGAAATACGCAGAATCATTAGCAAAACTTTCAATGTATTATTTCAGAATCCAAAGCCGCAACTACGAGTTTTTCTCTTTAGCCATATTCAATTTTGGTTTAACTCCTTTGACATAATATTAATAATTTCTCATTCCAGCATGTCGTAAAGGAAAACAGAGAAACTTAATCGGTGCAAATCTTCTTACCCTGAGAATGGCCAGAGAATGATTTAAGACCAGGATGTAAAGAAATTTTAGATACTCCTGTGAGTAAAACCGGGGTGTTGGAAAACTGTGGGTTCATCTTTCGTTCATCTCGTTCAAGCTTTACTTGCCTAGAATCCCATTCCAATGCCTCATTGATTGAGAAAAAAAATGAATCACATGTCCTGCTATATAGTGCTGATGAGAGATTCGAAAATCGGAACACTAACCGGTAGTCGTCGAGGATGAAAGTGACTTGGTTTTCTAGTCCTCGTTGAGCCACCAGTTCCCTGGCGAATTTGACCTGCTCCGTCGAGATATTGACCCCGGTCACTTTGACGCCGTAATTAGAGGCCAGGAAGCAGGACAACGTGCCCCAACCACAGCCAAGGTCGACGACCGTCATTCCTGGTTCCAGTTGCAACTTCCGAGCAATCAGATTCATCTTGTTCACCTGGAACATCGACCGTTACAGAGAAAACTTACACTTGGTATTATATCGCGCATATGCTATGAACGAAGTTTTCCTTACCTCGAATGTAATATATGCTGTGTTGAATAATTTGAATTGGGAAAGTTCATATTTCTTGATATAGTATAACCTCTATAAGTCATACAGTGAGACTCTAAAATACGGACACCCCCGGCATACGGACGATTTGACGTATGTGCACTTGAAACTTTTTCAAATCTGGCGTGACATCCAGACAATATCTGAAAATTTGGACAATTTTCATGCATTTCTATAGACACATGAAAATTTTTAATTTTCAAAATTTGGACATATTTTGAACAAGTTGAGCTGCTTTTATAACAAAACTTATTTTATATATACTGAACTCAAATTTATGATCAACAACCGGTTACTTTTGTGTTTCTTTTTCTGAGTATTCTCCATTATCTGTGCACAGTATAAGAAGACTTTTAGTTTTTTTTTTGCCTTTTGGGCTTTTGATGCCAGAAAATCAGATTCAGTGTGCATTTTTCCACGCAGGTGTAATCTAGCTTTTCTTACATTGAGAAAAACAATTTAATTGTACAGTATTTGTTGTAGAATTTATTTCTAATTTTTGATGAACTGAAGGACCTGTTGAATCATTTCCCATCAAAGTTTATGCTGGGAAAACTAGATCCAATATGCAGACAATCCAACATAGGGTGGTAGGGGTCCAAGCACCAATTACGTTTGCATTGTGGGGTCTCACAGCATTTCCTAACCTCTTCAAGTCATAGTTCAAGGGACTGGCAAATACATTCAAGTTAGGGAGGTTTTGACTTAGGGAAACGACCATTTGTGTAAGGGTGAACGAAAGAATAATAAAAGCACATTTTAATTGTTATCAGTCTAGGGCTCTAGGCCTTAAATTGCTTCTTAAATGGGTTGACCAGATGCTGAACTTGGTGGGGGTTTATTTGCTGGATTATTCATTAATTTCCTTTCAAAATGCATTGATAAGCATTTCGATTGTATGTCTCTTTGTCATGTGTCAATAAAACAATTGTCAAAAGGCCTCAAGAAAATTTAAGTTATGAAGGTTTGAGGAAGAAAGTCTTTTAATTTTGGAAAGGTTTTTATGCATGATTCATCAGGAAATACAAACAGGGACTTGACCACAACCAAAAAAATCAACAATAGGAAGATATATGACTTAGGAAGGTTTGAATATAATCAAACAAAAACTGTAGAAAGACATAACTTTTAATTGAATATCAAGCAAAATTATTGCAACCTGTATGAGAAACATTTAATCTCACATTTCTCAGATGCTCATCTGTAACTTAGAATTGAATACAATATTAGTTCACCTTTGAGTGAGTATTAATAATTGGTCTCATTCTTACATATTACCAAAAAATGCCTGACTTTGAGTGAGTGTATTCATTAGTTATTATATCTAAACCTGGATATCAAGAGCATGGATCTTCAGCTAATTGAATTGTCTTTCTTTTGATGGCTTTGGAAATATTTTGTCATTTTTCTGGAGTTGTTCTGGTTTTAATCTGATATACACCAAAGCATTGAAAAAGGAAAACCTGCTGTTTGACTTTATCTTTGATTGGAATTTTCCACCCATCCATGGATTGTTGCTTCAATAAAATTTTAGTCTGAATTTAGAAAAAGAATATATCGGACTCACCAAAAACATCATCAGAGAACATTTATTTATCTAAGCCTCTTATCAAATACATTGATGAGTTCTCTCAAGAGAACTTTCCACATATATTGCCTAAGAGCCACATAATTGCTTCAGCACTTCAAATACCTTCAAACACAGAGATTTTGTAAAACCCTTCATAATTTAAGAGTGATTGCGGGTAAAACTCATCAGATACATTTTGTTCACCTGGAACAGTTGATATCTGTTACAACTACAAAAACTTACCTGATGGTAATGATGGAAAGGCTATTATTTTTTCCCCCTTGAATGCGACTTGTTCTGTGATATTTTATTTGAACCAAACATGTTTCCTTTGGTTGATACAAAAGGAGAATTTGTTCTTTGATTCCAAATGAAATTAATGCGTGGGTTTGGGGGACAATTTTAATGACGTTTTCTTGTACGCTCAGCAGATGAAATCCTTCCCCAGCAGATGAGTTTTGGTCCTTCGAGTCGGATCGAGGGAAATCAGAAGTGTGAGAAAAAAGTGCGCTAACAGCAAAAGTGAAGTAGGGGATATAGGGCAATTCCGAAATGCAGTAGACCCTTGCCAATTCTTGCGTAGATCATTGCGGATGAGAGAAAGCTCGCTGAGGTAACACATCTTGATCTGACGCAGAGAGTTGGGGGCTATATTGGCCTGGTACTGTGTGAAGAATATTGCACTTATCCATAAAATTTTTCCCCTTAATCATAAACCTTCAGGAAACTGTCCCACCAGAGTGCATCTGAAGCTGAATCAAGAATTGAAACATTCACTCACTATCCAGACCTTGAAGCAGTGATAATCATCATCATCTTGTGTATATTG